ATATTTCGCAAATTGTCTTTCCGATTATTAAGTTTTCATTCGTTGGTTGATAACAACATATTTTCAAACAGGAATCGGAAATTATAATTTTGATCCGAGTCGAGTTTATTAAGAGGTACAATTTTGGAACTATTAATCTACAGTGTTCATACACTTCTGGTAAGCTGATTAAGTCAAGTGACATTTTGAACAGTTTTGGCTATTTTTCTTTTGTTTATTTATTGTTTATATTTTTTTTTATAAAAGTTTAGCACTTTACCTAATCAGCGGCACATAAATCCACATTTCAAACTTCGTACGAAAATTATGAAAATTCAACACACTTTAACATTTGCACCCAAAAATTTTAATCTTTTATTCAGAATTTTTAGAAAAATTTTGGGTATGCAGTTTTGTAGCTCTTTAAATTTTAAATAGTAGGTTGAAATGCAAATTTCAACACGCTAGAAAATCGGGTTAATTTTTCATAATTTTTTTGCTGATGGTGCTAGGCATTTTCTCCCATACAAACGAAATTGTCGAGCATATTTCATATGGAAGAAAATGCACAAATTCGTCAGCAAAAAAAAAAAATTATTAAAATCAACGCAATTTTCTTGCATCTTGAAATTTACACGCAATAGCCAAAACTGTTCAAAATGCCACTTGACTTAATCAGCTTACCACAAGTGTACATACATATTAGCTCTGATCCAATACTTTTCGTGCAAAATCCTGTAAAAATTTCAAACCGCAAAATTACTCTCTGAAGTGAGAGTAAAAAGTGAGTACCAACAAAAAGTACGGGAACAAAAAGGCATTTTTCCTGTTAAAACGTCAACCAGTGATCACTTGACACTTTTCATGATTTTATCAGAAGAAAAAGTTCGGGTAAAATCTTGCAACTTCATTCTCTACACAACTCTCCAAAAATCACGTACAGGATTTTTAGGGATTTTGGAGTACGGGATCATTTTTTGTGTAACTTCCTGCAAGTTCGTGTAAAAACCTGTAAGTTCATGGAGTACTGGATCAGAGCTATCGTCACCTTAATTCACAAGGGCCCTAACCAAAGAAGCAGGATAAGCAAAAAACATTTTAAAAGGGGTATTAAAAACAGGTAGGGCTTTTCAAAAAGTGGCATGTGACTCCGTTGTTTTTGGTACTAACACTTCAAAATTTTTATTGAAGGTGTATTTTAATACCATGGATAAAGCTGTTTTATTTCTTCACCTGTTTTTAATTTCACCCCCTTTAATACATCCTACATTAAATCTGTGAAAAATGCAGTTTCGAAAAAAGTATTCGTTAGGGCATTTGTTTATAAATAAATATGTATGTATGTTTTTACATGGACGTTAACGAAGATTTAAAGTTTTCTCTGTAATTATTTCTTATTTAATTTATTTTTTCTAATTATAAGAGCATGCCTGGAAATCTAAAGTTACTAAGCGATGGCATTCGCGAAGGCGACCCCGAATTGTATGCTATCATAAAGGCTGAGAAAAAACGCCAAACTGTGGGTTTGGAAATGATTGCCAGCGAGAACTTCACATCCGTTTCGGTGCTGGAATGCTTGAGTTCATGCTTGCACAATAAATATTCAGAGGGTATGCCTGGCAAGCGTTACTATGGTGGCAATGAATTTATCGATGAAGTAGAGCGTCTTGCACAAAAGCGTGCACTCGAAGTATTCCGTCTCAATCCCGATGAATGGGGTGTAAATGTGCAACCTTACTCAGGCTCCCCTGCCAACTTTGCTGTGTACACTGGACTATGCCAACCACACGATCGCATTATGGGCTTAGATTTGCCCGATGGTGGCCATTTAACGCATGGTTTTATGACTGCAAAAAAACGCATCTCTGCCACGTCCATATACTTCGAGAGCATGCCATATAAAGTGGACGCGCAAACGGGTTTAATCGATTACGATCAATTGGAGGCTAGTGCTAAGCTATTCCGGCCACGGATAATCATAGCAGGCGTATCCTGTTACTCACGTTGTCTTGACTATGCACGCTTTCGTAAGATCTGTGATGATAATGATTCTTATCTCTTTGCTGATATGGCTCACGTTGCCGGCCTGGTGGCGGCTGGCTTGATTCCGTCGCCATTTGAATACGCCGATGTTGTTAGCTCTACGACACACAAAACGTTGCGCGGTCCACGCGCTGGTGTCATCTTCTATCGCAAAGGTGTACGCAAGGTACTGCCAAATGGCGAAAAAGTATTATACGATTTGGAGGAACGCATAAACGCAGCTGTTTTCCCAGGTTTACAAGGTGAGTATCAGTGGCATGAAACGTGGAGCTGGAATGCTGACACAACGCACTAACCGGCTTGTTGCCAAACCGAATTCCCTCTTATTCTGACGGAATGATCCAAAACTAACAAATAATTAATTTATTTTATATCTTTTTTAGGTGGTCCACACAATAACACTATAGCTGGCATTGCCACCGCCATGAAGCAGGCACAGTCACAAGAGTTTGTTGACTACCAAAAGCAGGTTATCGCCAATGCGCGTCGTCTATGCGACGGTTTGATAAAGCGTGGATACAATATTGCCACCGGTGGCACTGATGTTCATTTGATATTGCTCGATTTACGCAACATTGGTTTGACTGGCGCAAAAGGTGAATATATATTGGAAGAAGTGAATATTGCCGGCAACAAGAATACAGTACCAGGTGATAAGTCAGCATTGAATCCATCTGGCATACGATTGGGAACACCAGCTTTAACTACACGTGGTTTAGTAGAGTCCGATTTTGATGTTGTTGCGGACTTCATTGATCGAGCATTGAAACTGTGCGTTGAAGCAACTAAAATATCCGGCCCCAAATTGGTGGATTTCAAGGAAGTCTTAAAGTCGAACAAAGAAATCGCAGAAAAACTGGGCAAAATACGTCGTGATGTTGAAG